CTTCATCATTCGAGTGACTACTCTTAATATTGTGCTGTCCTATCTTAGCAAGCCCACCCACCCACCCTCTGTTTTCTTAGAGGATATTATATTTGCCAAAATCAGTGTTATCTTAGAAAGTACTAGCCCCGCCCACCCACCCTTTGTTTTCTTGGAAGGTATGTGATTTGCCAAAATCAGTATTATCTTAGCAACAACTATTTAATTATTGTTTAATAATTTATTTTGCCATTTAAATATATAATATAGTACTTGCTGAGATAAGACTGATTTTGGCAAATGACATATCCTACAAAGAAAGAGAGGGTGGGTGGGCGGGGTTAGTATTTGCTAAGAAAAAAACTGATTTTAGCAAATAATATACCTCTTCTTAAGAAAATACAGAGAGAGCGGGCGGGGCTAGTACTAAGACAATTTTTGGCAAATGACATACTCTTTAAGAAAATGGAGGGTGGGTGGGTGGGCGGGCCTAGTATTTCATAAGATAAATCTGCGATTAATACTCTGTCAAACTGGAAACTCAATGTTTTCCTTTCAAATAAAGCCCTTTGGAACGATTTCAAATTTTTTGGAAATTTTGGGGATTTTTGGAACATTTTCCCCCTCAATTCTCAGTTATTTGAAGACAAATTGTCAAAAATATGTTACATTCGTAATCTGCGAAAAATTGTTTATAAGCTAACTATTTTCCATTGGCTCAGATCGTGTTGTAACTGTTTCAGACAGAAAATTTTCGGAAATTACGAAAAATGGTTCTCACTTTTCTCGCTAATTTTCGGAAATAGTTGAAAAATAGTCGAACATGTCAAAAGTGCGAAAATCAGTCTTATCTTAGCAAATATTAGCGCCACCCACCCACCCCTAATTTTTTTAAAGAGTATGTTATTTACTAAAATCAGTCTTACGTAAACAAATACTAGATATTGTACAAGTACTAGCTAAGATAAAACTGATTTTGGCAAATCATATACCCTATAAGAAAAGAGAGGGTGGGTGGGCGGGGCTACTATCTGCTAAGATAAGACTAATTTTGGCAGATGAGATATGCTCTAAGAAAAGTGAGGGCGGGTGGGTGGGGCGGGTACCTGCTACGATAAGAACATTTTTGGCAAATGAGATATGACTTAAATGACGTATATTAAGAAATGTAATTAAATTATTATAAGAAAATACATTGGAGGCTCCAAAGCACTTTCAAATTCTCGCCAAAAGAACGGGATCCCAAAATTGACTCAAAAGCTCAGCTCAGAATTTTCCAAAAATAGAATAGTAAAGTCCTCCATTTTTTTTTTAAACAATTTAGAAAAAAAATCTTCATGGTAATTAAACATGGTCATGGGTCAGGGAAATATTAACAAAAAGTTTTATTATTAGTTATTGTGATAATGAATGTGTTGTTTAGTTGTTAAACGTAGCAGAAAAAGCAATTTTAAAATCATGATAAGTCCACCAAAATGTGAGAAGGATTTTTTTTACTATTTTTCGCAGCCGCATCAGTTGATTGTTAAGAGCGTAGTGGAGAGTTAATGCGTCATTGCCCAGACACCCGGTATATCATGATTTTTGACATTTATGCTTACTCAAGGAGGTCCTCAATTTTTGGCGCTTTTTCGACCATTTTTGAAAATTTTTCAAAGAGATTTTCCCAATTTCTCAAATTTTAAACAAGTATTTGGAGTTTTCAATTTTTTCTTTCTTCAATTTTTTGAATTTTGGTATTTAATTTTTCATTTCTCGATTTAATTTTCCAAATTTTCAGTTTAAAATTGTTCAATTTCTCGATTTCTCATCTTTTGAATATTTTCAATTTTTCGTTTCTTACTTCATGGATTTGCATTTTCTTGAGTTTTCATTTTTGAATTTTTGAATTTTTCGAGATTATATCTTTTCGTAATTTTTACATTTTTCGATTTTATTAATCATCGGAATTTTGGATTTTAAGTTTTCAGTTCCTTATTTTGAATTTTTCAAATTTTCAACTTCTGAAGTTTTCGATATTTGTTTTTCTTTCTTCCTTTCTTTCTTCAATTTTTCGGTTTGCAATTTTTGAGTTTTTGATTTCTTCAATTTTCCGACTTGTAATTCATCGAGTTTTAGTTTAAATTTTTTTTAATTCCTTCATTTTTCAGCGTATGAATTTTTTATTTTTGACGATTTTTCATTTCCTAGATTTTTAATTTTTCGTTTCGTCAATTTTTTAATATCAAGTTTTTTTGAAATTTTCATTTGTGAATTGTTTCGATTTTACAATTAGTTGTAAAAATCTTTCAATTTTTTAATTTTTGATGTTTCAGTTTTGCCTTCAATTTTTCAATTTTCAACTTTTTGAATTTTGGTTTTTAATTTCTCGATTTCTCAGCTTTTGAATTCTTCAATTTTGCTTTTCTTACTTATTGGATTTGCGTTTTCTTGAGTTTTCATTTTTGAGTTTTTGAATTTTTCGAGTTTATAATTTTTCACCTTTCTTAATTTTCCTTTTCTCAGTTTTTTTCTTTTTCGGTTTTAAATTTTTTCCAATTTAAATTATGTAAATTTCCTATTAAATAGGGACACTAAAAAAATATTTTCAATTTTGTGATTGTTTGATTCTTCGATTTTTCAATTTTTAAATATTTCAGTTTTGTAATTTTTACATTTTTCGATTTATTAATCGTCCGAATTTTGGATTTTAAGTTTTCAGTTCCTTATTTTAAATTTTTCAAATTTTCAACTTCTGAAGTTTTCGATTCGCATGTCGAGATCTACATTCTTGAATTTTTTGCGGATTTTTAGGCAACTTTTTCAAAAGTTCAATTTTTCAATGAATTTTATGAAAATTTGGATTTTTTATCATTTCGGAAAACTACTTGTAATTATAATTATAATTAATTATTTTCCAACGTTACCTAAAGGCATTTTCTTGTAGATTTCGACCTCCAGAAGTTAATATTGGCCCCATTTCTTCGATAATTCCTACCATTTTCCCGAAAGTTTTAAGATTAAAAAAAAAATAATAATTCCACACCGAATACTTGTAAAATGTTGTTGTGGGACAGTAAACACGATAATATTTTTGGAATCAGCACGTCGAGGTCTCCAACCCTGATTTTTTTGCGGATTTTTAAGCAAATTTTTCAAAAGCTCAATTTTTCAATTTTCCCTTTTATGAAAATTTTTAGAAGTTAATTTTCGTCATTCGGGTTTGAATAATAAAAATTCTGTTCGTTGAAGCATTTTTTTTTAATAAACTGAAAGTTTACAAGTGCAAGTACATTAGTATTTATGTTATTTTTTGTCAGGTTGGTAACATATTTATAATTTTATGATGGTGCCCTTGATGTCAAATTCAAATTTTAGGCACCAATTCAGTAATTCAGAATTGCCAACCCAGAAATTTGCTTCAATCATAAATAATTAACCGTTTTTTTACACTGTTTCTGATTTATTAATCAATTAGTACTGAACTACTTGAGTTGGCACTAAAAGTCACCAATCCTGGAATAATTTTCTTCCGCTACTTTGTCAAACCTGATTCAAATGTTTGGCCCTATGTCACTCATAGGCGCTCACGAAAGTTTGGTTATGGCATTTCAATAACAATCAATAACAAATTTGTGTCAGTTCTCACAACAGGAAGTGATGAGTGACAGGTCTACCAATTTCAAGAAAAATTTATTGACACCAATAGTATTATTACTATTAATAGTGATTATGATTTATTTTTTATGGTGCCTTGTGTTCCAAAAGAGTGAAAGTACGTCGTTCAAATATCATTTTAGTGCATCGAACCGTGTGTAAAAAAACCCGACGAATATTATATAGGCAACAACTACCGCTTCGAGTTATGTTGGTTGCCTAGCTACATATGACCTATTTATGTCAAATTCTTGGTTGTTTAGGAAATTCCAAACACAGAGTTCCTTAAGTCTTCTGTAAGGTTGAAGTGATATTTTTAAAATTTTTATATCATTACAAGCCTCATTTTAACCCTGAATTTTGTACAGGACCTGATAACACTATTTTTTGAGCATATCAGTGTTGCAACAACTATTACATTCTATCTGTTCACGTCTGAATATTTCTGCATAGGCAACCCATTTTACGCTTCATGAACAGCTTTGATTAATTTTTGACAAATTATTTCTGCCAGCCAAACATTTTCAATTTTCGTTTGCTTTAAAGTTTGACAAATAGAACTACCTCAAATCAAGCCTTTAGACAACTTGAAAAAAATTTACGAGAATTTGGGCAATTAAAAAAAAAAAATGTTTGTCATATGTTTTCTGTGACTGCTATGATTGCTTATTAAAAAAAATATTAAATTGGACGAAGTCGTCTCCGGGGTGTATAAAATGTTGCCTCTGCAAAAGTTTTCTCTCGTTCTTGGCATTTATTAAAAACTTAAAAACAATTATCTAGGATTCCGAGCACATGCTACGCACGCGGTCTTCCAGCCTCTGTAATACCGAACTCAGAATTTATTAGCAACACAATTAAGTTTATGCGAGTTTCACAACTTCATCCACACGTCTCAGTGTCTCAGTTTTTTGCTTCAGTTGCCCACTGCTGCCAACTTCGCCCAACTTCTCTCCCGACGCAAAACTCGATTATTCTCCCATCTTTCCATCCACCCTCCCCAGCTCACCCACAAGCAACAATACTACACCTAATCAAATCAAAGCACTTATATCCATATATATGTATCTACAACGCACGCACGCACCCGCACCACCACCCCCACTCCAGCACCTAGGCTAATTCGGCCACAAATTCAATTTCCTCATCACTGAAACCGTTTTGTTAGAAACACACAGCAGTCCTGCAAACTCGAACAAAGCGCCAGACATTGTACAAACCAGAAGCGATGCCTTATCGCAAAACAAACAAACAATCAAACAATACACATGTCCCCAAACACCATCACCGTCAGACATAATTACAAAGTTAGCATTGTGTCTACGTTGAGCGCGATCCAGCCCGGAACAGACTTTGTGCCGGCGCTAAATAAAAGCAGATCTCACCTGTGTCAACCGCCGGTATTTTCCGCATATCTTGACGCCTTCTACGCACTGTCACTTTGCGGAAGACGGTGCCGCTGAGGGGCTCGATGTCGCACAGCTCGACGGGGGTGGTCTCCTCGCGGGCGAAGTGGACTTCGGGGGCGGCGGGCTCGTCGGGCTCCTCGCGGCGCAGGCGGGGGCTGCCGGAGGGCTTCTTGTCGGTGACGTTGCTGTCGAAGCTGACGCGTTTTTCCACCGAACTGGGTTTGTCGAGCTTTAAGCAAGAAATGGGGGTGAATGGGGTTATTTTCGACAGGACGAAGGTACAAATTAAAGAAAAGTATAAATTATTAATATTAATCTCTGTTTTGATTATTTTCGAAGAGTCTACAACACTTTTATAAAATAAATCCTGGTTGAAAACGAAAGATGCACCGGAATTTAGATTTAGAAAGAAGAAGTCAAGTCGAGGTGGCTTAAGTCAGATCAAGTCACGTCAGGTCAGGTCAGATCAAATAACGGTGATGAAAAATACAGAAGAAAAAAACGATATATTTCATTCGAGAAAAAATTAACATAAAATTTGAGAATAAAGCCAATACCATTGTTCGAATTCAGTTTGATCAGATTTACTTGTTTTAGTATATAAATATTTTCTGTAGTATAGGAGTCCTAAAATTCAAAGAAATTGCGAAATTTCGTTCAAGAACGAGCAAAAACAGAAATATTTAAGGCTTGACTGCGATACCAGAGGTTCCAGAAGACAGTCGACTAAAGAATTTAAGGTTCATTTCTTAGAAAATTCATATAATTTTTCTACTCATATGAAAGTGTTTTCAAAATTTTTCAAAATTATATCTTTGGAACCGAACATTTGGAAAATCTGGCTAGAGGACCACAAATACGTTATATTTTTCGAATCAGCATACCAAGATTTCCTTAAAAGCTTTTTTTTATGAATTTTTCTCGTTTTGACCACCATCGAAAAAAATCTCTTTATTTTTTGCAAATTTCGACCTCCGGAAGTTATTTTTGGCTTCATATTTTCGATAACTCCTACCATTTTTCCGGACTTGCTTATTGAAATATCTCTAACATCTTGTTCCGGGACCGTAAATAAGCTATATACTTTTTTTAATCAGCATGTCGATATTTACATTCCAAATTTTTTTGGGGATTTTTAGGCAACTTTTTCGAGTGCTAAATTTTTTTACGTTACCTTCTTATGAAAATTTTGACCCTTTTTCGACAATTTTCGAAAATTACCCAAATATATTTTCTTGTAGATTTCGACCTCCCGAAATGAATTTCCGCCTTATTTCTTCAATAACTCCTACCATTTTTCCAAAAGCGGCAATTTTTATAACACCGAATATTTCTAAATCTTGCTCGGGAACCGTAAACCCGCAAAATTTTTCCCATTAACACATCAAGATCTACATCCCTGAATTTTTTGTGGATTTTTGGGCAACATTTCCAAAAGCTCAATTTTTCAAAATTCCGCTTTATGAAAATTTTGACGATTTTTTGACCACTTTCGAAAAATAGCCAAAGGATTTTCTTGTAGATTTCGACCTCCAGAAGTTAATTTCGCCCACATTTCTTCGATGACTCTTACCATTTTTCCAGAATCGGCAATTGAAATATGGCGATTTTTAAGATTCAAAACATTCAAAAACAAAAACAACAAGAATCAAAAAGGGAAATAATTGAAAAAGTGAAAAACCAAAAAAAAAAAAAAAATAAAAAATTGAAGACTCGAAAAATCAAAAACTGTATAAGTGTAGAACTGTAAAATTCGAAAATTGAAATTCTGAAAGTTGAAAAATCAAAAAACTGAAAAATAAAAAATATGAAAAATTCAAAACTGAAGAATCCAAAGATTAACAATACCGCAAATAAATTGAAACATTCAAAATTGAAAAAATCGAAGAATTGAAAAGTGGAATAATTGAAAAATCGAAAACTGAATAATTGAAAATTGAAAATCGAAAAATTCAAGATATGAAATACTAAAAACGAGAAAGATTAAAAAATCCAAAAATGAAGAATCGAAAAGTTGACAAAACTGAAAAACAGACATATTGAAACAAAAATCAAAAATTCATTAATTGGAAAATTAAAAATTAAAAAGAGAAAACTAGAAAATGAAAAACTAAAGAATTGAAAAATTACGAAAATAAAATGCCAAAAAATCGAATAACAGTCAAATCAGAACACAAAAATCAAAGAGTCGAAGATTTGAAAAGTGCAGTCAAAAATCGAGAACGCCGAAACCCAAAAACTGAAGAATTGAAAAATTGGAACATCGAAAATCCAAAAATCAGAAAAACGAAAATGGAATGAATCGAAAAATTCAAAAACCGAAAACTGCAGAATAGTAAAATCGCTAATTGAAATAAGGCAATTTTTAAAATTGTCTTTAAAATTTAATTCCAAATCGAATATTTGTAAAATCTTGCTCCGAGACTAAACACGATATATTTTTCGAATCAGCACCTGGAAATCTAAATTTTTGCAGTTTATGCGGATTTTTTGACAACTTAAATGGGAGAATGAGAGAGAGTGAGAAATGGGAGAATGAGAGGTGTTTAAGTGAAAAAAAATTTGTCAGGATTTTTTGTGGTATGGGAATCCTAAGGTTCACAGAGATTGCGAAATTTTGTTCGAGAACGAGCAAAAACAGAATATTTAAGGCTTCATTGCCATACTAGAGGTTCCAGAAGACAGTAGACTTACTTTTTCGAAAGTTTATTTAATTTTTCCAGTCAAATATGAGAATTTTTACAATTTTTCAAAATATTGTCTTTTGAAGCGAATTTTTGGAAAATCTTGCTACATGTTATATTTTTCGAATCAGCTTATCGAGATTATTTTTTGTGGATTTTTTTTTGGCAATTTTTCCTTAAAAGCTTAATTTTTTAATATCTTTTTTTACGATTTTTTTAGGTTTTGACCACCATCGAAAAAAATCTCTTTATTTTTTTGCAAATTTCGACCCCCGGACGTTATTTTTGGTTTCATTTCTTCGAACATTTCGGCCACTACTTTAGAATCACAAAATGAAAGAAGGCAATTATTAGGATTTTTAGAAAATTTGATTTTCATACCAAATATCCCGAAAATCTGGTTAAGACAACATAAACACGCTGTGTTTTTCGAATTACCTATGTCTTTATCTCAGAGTTTTTTGTGAATTTTTAATCAACTTTGTCAAAAGCTGAATTTTTCAATATTTTGAAAATTTTGACCCTTTTTTGACCATTTTCGAAAACTACCCAAAGACATTTTCTTGTTGATTGCGTTCTCCAGAAGTTAATTTCGACTTCGTATCTTCGATAACTCCTACCATTTTTCCGGAATCGCTTATTGAAATACGAAAATTTTTAAGATTGTTTAAAAAATTTAATTTCAAACTCAATATCTATAAAATCTTGTTCCGGGACCGTAAACAAGCAACTTTTTTTAATCAGCATGTCGATATTTTTATCCCAATTTTTTTTGGGGATTTTTAGGCAACTTTTTCGAGTGCTAAATTTTTTACGTTACCTTTTTACGAAAATTTTGACCCTTTTTCGACAATTTTCGAAAATGACCCAAATATATTTTCTTGTAGATTTCGGCCTCCCGAAATGAATTTCCGCCTTATTTTTTCGATAACTCCTACCGCGTTTCCAAAATCGGCAATTGAATTATGGCGGTTTTTAAGATTTTTATTAACACCGAATATTTCTAAATCTTGCTAAGGAACCGTAAACACGCAAAATTTTTCCCATTAACACATTGATATCTACATTCTTGAATTTTTTTTTGATTTTTCGGCAACATTTTCAAAAGCTCAATTTTTTAAAATTCCCCTTTATGAAAATTTTGACGATTTTTTGACCACTTTCGAAAATTAGCCAAAGGATTTTCTTGTAGATTTCGACCTCCAGAAGTTAATTTCGGCCACATTTCTTCGATAACTCTTACCATTTTTCCAGAATCGCCAATTGAAATATGGCGATTTTTAACATTCAAAACCATTCAAAAACAAAAACCACAAGAATCGAAAAGGGAAATAATTGAAAAATTGAAAAACCAAAAAAAAAAAACTAAAAATAGAAGACTCGAAAAATCGAAAAATGGGATAATTCAAAAATCAACTGAACTGTAAAATTCAAAAATTGAAATTCTGAAAGTTGAAAAATCAAAAAACTGAAAAATCGAAAAATTGAGAAATAGAAAACTGAAAAGGTTGCAAAATCGAAATATTCAAAAATTAAAAAACTAAAAAATAAAAAACACGAAAAATCCAAAAATGAAGAATCGAAAAGTTGACAAAACTGAAAAACAGACAGATTGAAAGAAAAATCAAAAATTCAAAAATTGGAAAATTAAAAATTAAAAAGAGAAAACTAGAAAATGAAAAATCTAAATAATTGAAAAATTACGAAAATGAAATGCCGAAAAATCGAAAACCAGACAAATCAGAACACAAAAATCAAAGAGTCGAAGATTTGAACGCCGAAACCCAAAAACTGAAGAATTGAAAAATTGCAACATCGAAAACGCAAAAATAAAAAAAAAACGAAAATGGAATAAATCAAACATCGAAAATCTTAATAATCGAGAAATTCAAAAACCGAAAACTGCAGAACTGAAAAATCGCTAATTGAAGAAATAAGGCAATTTTTAAAATTGTTTTAAAATTTAATTCCAAATCGAATATTTGTAAAATCTTGCTCCGAGACCATAAACACGATATATTTTTCGAATCAGCACCTCGAAATCTACATTTTTGTAGTTTCTGTGGATTTTTAAATATAGTAAATGGGAGAATGGGAGAGAGAGATAAATGGGAGAATGAGAGAGAGTGATAAATGGGAGAACGAGAGAAAGTGTTAAATGGGAGAACGAGAGAAAATAATAAATGGGAGAATGAGAGAAAGTGATAAATGGGAGAATGCGGGAATGATAAATGGGAGAATGAGAGAAAGGGTGATAAATGGGAGAATGAGAGAAAGTGATAAATGGGAGAATGAGAGAGAGATTGATAAATGGGAGAATGAGAGAAAGTGATAAATGGGAGAATGAGAGAGAGAGTGATAAATGGGAGATTGAGAGAGAGAGTTATAAAAATGGGAGATTGAGAGAGAAAAAAATATTAATCGAAATCAAAGAGTCAATTTTTCATTATGAAAATTTTGACCCTTTTCCAAATATTTTTGGAAATCAGCTGAAGACACTTTTCCTATAGATTTCAAGAAAAGATAATTGCTAACGTTTCGAAAAAGTACTACAATTGAAAAATTGTAAATTCCCAAACCCAAAAACTGTCGAATAGAAAAAATGAAACATCGAAAACCCAAAAATCAGATATCTTAAGAATCGAAAAATTGAAAAATCGGAAAATAGAAAGGTTGAAAAATTGAAAGAATCGAAAATTAAAATACCGAAAAATAAAAAAATTTTAAAAATTTAAAACTGGAGAAACGAAAAGTTGACAAAATCGAAAAACAGACAACTTGAAACACTCAAAAGTAAAAAAAAGCCGAATCATCAAAAAGTGGAAGAAATGAAAAATTGAAAAAAAAAAAAAAATTGAAAAAGCCAAAAACTGAAGAATCGAAAAATTGACAACACCGGAAAACAGAATTGAAACACTCAAAAATCACAAAATCGAAAATAGAATAGATCAAAAAATTCAAAAATTAAAATACTGAAAAATAAAAAAAATTTCAAAAATTATAAAACCAAAGAATCGAAAAGTGGAACAATTGAAAAATCGAGAACTTCAAAATTTGAAATATTGAAAAAGAGAAAAATAAAAAAATTCAAAACTGGAGAATCCAAAAGTTGACAAAATCGAAAAACACTCAAAAGTAAAAAAACGAAGAATCAAAAAATGGGAGAAATAAAAAATTGGGAAAAACCAAAAATTAAAAAATCGAACAGTCTAAAAACTAAAAAAAAACCTGAAGTTAATCCAAGAATTGACAACACCGGAAAACAGGCGAATTGAAACACAAAAATCGAAAAATCGAGGAATGGAAAACTGGAATAATTGAAAAATCGAAAACTGAATAACTGAAAAGTTGAAAAATCGAAAAATTCAAACTTTGAAATATTGAAAAATCAAAACTGAAGAATCGGAAAATTCACGCAATCCAAAAACACACCAATTGAAACACAAATATTTTTGGAAATCACCTGAAGACATTTTCTTATAGATTTCAACAAAAGATAATTGCTAACGTTTCGAAAAAATACTACAATTGAAAAATTGTGAACTCCCAAACCCAAAAACTGTCGAATAGAAAAAATGAAACATCGAAAACCCAAAAATCAGATATCTTAAGAATTGAAAAATTGAAAAATCGGAAAATAGAAAGGTTGAAAAATTGAAAGAATCGAAAATTAAAATGCCGAAAAATAAAAAAAAATTAAAAATTTAAAACTGGAGAATCGAAAAGTTGACAAAATCGAAAAACAGACAATTTGAAACACTCAAAAGTAAAAAAAAACCGAAGCATCAAAAAGTGGAAGAAATGAAAAATTGAAAAAAAAACAAACATTGAAAAAGCCAAAAATTAAAAAATCGAAAAGCTGACAAATCGGAAACTGAAAATCTAAAATGTATAAAAAGTGAAGATTCGAAAAATTTGAAAATTTACTGAAAAACAAAAAATATAAAAAATCCAAAAACTGAAGAATCGAAAAATTGACATCACCGGAAAACAGAATGGAAACACTCAAAAATCACAAAATCGAAAATAGAATAAATCAAAATATTCAAAAATTAAAATACTGAAAAATAAAAAAATATTCAAAAATTAAAAAATCAAATAATCGAAAAGTGGAACAATTGAAAAATCGAGAACTTCAAAATTTGAAATATTGAAAAGGTGAAAAATTAAAAAAACTGGAGAATCGAAAAGTTGACAAAATCGAAAAATACTCAAAAGTAAAAAAACGAAGAATCAAAAAGTGGGAGAAACAAAAAAAATGGGAAAAATCGAACAGTCTAAAAACTGAAACAATTGAAAAATCAAAACTGAAGAATCGGAAAATTCACGCAATTCAAAAACATACCAACTGAAACACAAATATTTTTGGAAATCACCTGAAGACATTTTCTTATAGATTTCAATAAAAGATTTATCACGTCAAGATCTATAACCCTGAACTTTTTGAGAATTTTTGACGACTTTTTCAAAAACGAAATTTTTCACTATGCAAATTTCGATCCATTTTCAACGATTTTCGAAATTTAACTGGATACATTTTCTCGTTAATATCAGGCCGCAGAAGTCACTTATGGCCTTATTTCTTCGATAACTCCAACCGTTTGTCCAGAATCGCCCATTAAAATATCGTGATTTATAAAATTTTTAAAAATTCGAATTTTACTCTAAATATTCCGAAAATATTGTTCTGGGACGTGAACACGCTGTATTTTTCGAATCAGCAGGTCGAGATCTAGATCCTTGAATTTTTTACCCTTTTTCGACCTTCTTGGAAAATTACCTAGCGGCATTTTCTTGTAAATTTAGACCTCCAGGAGTTAATTTCAGTCCCATTTCTTCGATAACTCAAACCATACGTGGATAATACTTAATCAGCAAGATTAATGTGCTAGGTGTCGCTTAAGCAATATCTTGAAATTCCCAGTCCCCGAAATGATCGCAGTTTGAAGAAAAGTGGTGTCAATAATTAATTAATGCACAGAGTGAAACGACCCATACTTTTTGTGTTGGGAATTAACCATAATTTAATCTCACGTGCTTGATTTACTTGATTTAGTAACCGCAAGGATTTTTGCCGCCATTCATTAACCCTAAAAAAAACAACATATCCATTACCAACCTGATCGACTTGTTTTTTCTCGATTAATTCAAATCTGCAACGTTGCACTCAACCAAATAGTTAATTTTAATAAAAAACAAATTTAAACAAAACCCCCTAGACGCCAAATAAAGAACGAACACAAACACAGCATTCACCTTCTTCTCCTTGGCGTCGTCGACCTCGCGCTTGTCCTGGTTTTCCGGCACCGTTTCGGTCTTCTCGTTCTTCGCCTGGGACTTCCGCCGCGGCGACTTATTCGACTTCTGGGATTGTTTGTTCTCGGCTAAACGCATTAAAGGATTTACGCGGGTCGGTCGTTTCGTGGGGGTTTCCGGGGGCTCGGGGTTGGCGGCGGCGGGCTTGACGGGGGAGGTGGATCGCTCGTTGTAGACGTCTTCGGACTGGGTGCGGCGGCACGCCGGATGCAGCCTCGACGGGGATGAGTTTCTTTCGGCGGAGAGGTCCTGGGCTTGGTTGGCGGCCTTGTGGAGGGCCAAGGATGGGTAGCTGTTGATGTCCTGGCCTCTGGGCAGGCTGTTGTAGGGGCGCAGCTCGGGGGAGCCTCGCAGGGCGTTCCAGCGCGGGGTTGGATCTGCAGGAAAAATGTTAGTTAAATATTTTGACAGATTTAGATTTTTTGATCAATGGATTTCAAGGTATGTTATTTGCATTTCCACGGAAGAAAGGATTACATTTTTGTGACATTACAGCTCATTAATTTGGCACACCTTATTGTTTTGCATATCTAACTGAAATCTTTTTTAATTATCAATGTTATATTAATTAATATTATGTTAATTCCCTGAGCTTCAGTGTGGGTTTGGACATTTTTCACAATCGACTGTCCATCTAGGAAACGATCAATTTTTTTTAAAGAGGAATGTAAATAAAGTGTGGCCAAATTAATAATTCGTAGTGATAAGAATGAACAAATCCAGCACTTACGTCAATATTTCAACATTCCCTCTTATGAAAATTACGAAAATTACCCCCAAATTTTTTTTAGATTTTCATGTTCAGAATTTAAAAACAAACATTAATTTTACACCCAAAATTTCTAAAATCTATCGGATAATTGGAAATCCAAATAATAAAAAAAAATCGAAAAATATAAAATTCAGAAATAGACAAAACGAAACATTCCAAGAATCAAAAAGTGGAATAATTACTGAAAAATCGAAAAATCCAAAAAAATAAGAAAATGAAACTCGAAAAATCGAAAAATTGAATAATTCAAAAATCAAAAACTTAATACTGAAGAGTTAAAAATCTAAAAACTCAAAATTTGAGATTTATTGAAAGAAAGAAAAACTGAGAACGCCAAAATTGAAAAATCGAAGCGTTGCAAAATCGAAAAATAGACCAATTGAAACACTCGAAAGTAAAAAATCGAAGGCTTGAAAAACTAAAAAATCGAAAACTGAAAATTTAAAAAGTCTACAAACTGAAAAATCTAAAAACTGAAGAATTAAAAAATTTTTAAATTGAAATAGTGAAAAATCAAAAATTGAAAAATTGGAAAATGAAAAATTAAAAGCTGGCAAATGCAAAAAATTGAAAACTCCCAAATCCAAAAACTGGAGAATAGACAAATTGAAACATCGAAAACCCAAAAATGAAAACATCGAAGACTCCAAAAATGGAAAATAGAATAAATCAAATCTTATGAATCCAAAAAGTGAAAAATCGGTAAATAGAAAGGCTAAAAATTAAAAGATTAAAAAATTAAAATACTGAAAAATAACAAAATATTCAAAAATTAAAAAATCTAAAGTGGAATAACTGAAAAATTGAAAATATTGGAAAAGAGAAAAATTAAAAAATCTTAACCTGGAAAATCGAAAAGTTGACAAAATCGAAAAACAGACGAACTGAAACACACAAAAGTAAAAAAATTGAAGAATCAGAAAGTGGGAAAAATGAAAAAATTGAAAAAAAAACGCAAATTAAAAAATCGAAAACGTCTAAAAACTGAAGATCGGAAGAATTTGAAAACTGAAATACTGAAAAATCAAAATCAAAAATTGAAAAATTGAAAAAATGGAAAACACAAAATGAACGATCGAAGAATTCCAAAATTGAAATGACGAAAAATCGAAAAACAAGGAATACGAAACACTCAAAAATAAAAGAGTTTAAAATTGAAAACTGCCAAATCCTAAAAACCAAAAATCCGAAATTCCAAAAAACGAAACTGCAATAATTCAAAAATTGAAAATCTTTAGAATCGAAATATTGAGAATTCGGAAACTTCCAAATCCAAAAACTGAAGAATAGAAAAATTGAAACATGGAAAACCCAAAAATCAAAACATCGAAGACTCCAAAAATGGAAAATAGAACAAATCAAAAATCGAATATCTTAAGAATCGAAAAATTGAAAAATCGAAAAATGGAAAGTTAAAAAAATCGAAAGATTCAAAAATTAAAATACTGAAAAATAATAAAATATTCAAAAATCAAAAAATCAAAGAATCTAAAAGTGGACCAATTGAAAAATCGAGAAGTTAGAAATTGAACATTTTGAAACACAGAGAGAAATTAAAAAATCTAAACCTGGAGAATCGAAAAGTTGACAAGATCGAAAAACAGACGAACTGAAACACACAAAAGTAAAAAAAATTGAAGAATCAGAAAGTGGGAAAAATGAAAAATTGAAAAAAACCGAAGATTAAAAAATCGAAAACTGAAAATCTAAAACGTCTAAAAACAAAAAATGAAGAATCGAAGAATTCCAAAATTGAAATGACGAAAAATCGAAAAACAAGGAATACGAAACACTCAAAAATCAAAGAGTTGAAAATCAAAAACTCCCAAATCCCAAAAATCAAAAAATCGGGGATTCCAAAAATCGAAAATGCAATAATTCAAAAATCGAAAATCTTAAGAATCGAAAAATTGAAAAATCGAAAAATGGAAAGGTTGAAAAATCGAAAGATTCAAAATTAAAATACTGAAAAATATTAAAATATTCAAAAATCAAAGAATTGAAAAGTAGAACAATTGAAAAATCAAGAACTTAAAAATTTAAATTATTGAAAAAGAGGAAAATTAAAAAATCCAAACCTGGAGAATCGAAAAGTTGACAAAATCGAAAAACAGCCAACTGAAACACAAATGTAAAAAAAATCGAAGAATCAGAAAGTGGGAAAAATGAAAAATTGAAAAAAATCGAAAAATTTGAAAACTGAAATACTGAAAAATCAAAAATCAAAAATTGAAAAAGTGAAAAAAAGTGAAAATACAAAAAATGAATTGAAGAATTCCAAAATTGAAATGACGAAAAATCGAAAAACAAGGAATACGAAACACTCAAAAATCAAAGCGTTTAAGATTCGAAAAGTAGAACAACTGAAAAATCGAAAACTTCCAAAAATCGAAAATGCAATAATTCAAAAATTGAAAATCTTTAGAATCGATAAATTGAGAAATCGGAAAATTCAAAAATTAAATACTGAAAAATTAAAAAAATTGAAACACTGAGAAATCGACAAATGAAAAAATTGAAACATTGAAAATTTAAAAATATAAATAAAATACTAAAAAATATAAAAAAAAACAAAAATTGAAGAAGTTGACAAAATCGAAAAGAAGACAAACTGAAAAGTAAAAAAATCGAAGAGTCGAAAAACTGAAAAATCGAAGAATTGAAAAACTGAAAAATCCAAAACTGAATAATTGAATAATTGAAAAATCGAAAAGCTGACAAATCGGAAACTGAAAATTTAAAAAGTCTAAAACTGAAGAATCGAAAATTTTGAAAATTGAGATAGTGAAAAATCAAAAATTGAAAAATTGCCAAATGAAAACTAAAATTAAAAAATTGAAAACTGGAAAATGCAAAAACTGAAGAATCGAAAAATTAAAAATCGCAATGTCGAAAAATCGAAAAACAGACAAATTAAAAATCAAGGAGTCGAAGATTCGAAAAGAGGAATAATTGAAAAATCGAAAGCTCCTAAATCCAAAACTTGAACAATAGAAAATTTGAAACATCGAAAAGCCAAAACCCAAAAAATCGAGACCCCAAAAATCGAAAATGGAATAATTGAAAATTGAAAATCAAGAAGTATAATCTCGAAATTTGAAAAGTCGTAAAACTGAAGAATCAAAAAATTCAAAAATTAAATCCTGAATAGTTAAACAAATTAAAAAATCGAAAAATTGACCTATCAAGAACTGAATAACAGGAAGGTTGAAAAATCGAAATATTCAAAAATTAAAATACTGAAAAATAAAAAATATGAAAAATCTAAAAACTGAAGAATTGAAAAAAACTCAGATAGACTTCAATTCGCAAAAGTTAATTCGGGCCTCGTTTCTTCGATAAGTCCTATCTTTAAATAAAAATTTCAAAAATAGAGAACACGAAACATTTAAAACAGAAAATCAAAAAACAAAAAATCGAGGACTTGAGAAATCGACTCGAAAAATCGAAAAAATGAATAACTAAAAAATCAGTAAAAAAATCGAAAAATTTAAAAAGTGAAATATCGAAAAATTGAGAAATCGAGAACTGAGTAACTAGTAAAGTCGAAAAATCGAAACATTCAAAAATTAAAATATGTACTGAAAAATAAAAAATATGGAAGACCCAAAAAGTGAAGAATCGGAAAATTTCAAAATTGAAACACTGAAAAATAAAAATAAAATCAAAAATTGAGAAATTCGAAAATAAAAATTAAAAACTGGAAAATGTGAAAACTCAAGAATCAAAAACTCCAAAATTGTAATGTACTCAAAAATAAAAGAGTCGAAGTTTCGAAAAGTGGATCAATTGAAAAATTGAAAACTCGCAAAGCCAAAAATTGAAGAACAGAAAAATTGAAACATCGAATAACCTAAAAATCAAGAAATCTAAGACTCCAAAAATCGAAAATGGGATAATTCAAAAATTTAAAATCTTAAGAAACAAAAATTGTAACGACAATTTCAAAAATTAAAATACTGAAAAATAAAAAATATGAAAAATCCAAAAACTGAACAATCGAAAAATTGACACCACCGGATAATATACAAATCGAAACACTCTAAAATCGAAAAAACAAAAAATTCAAAATTTGAAATACTGAAAACGAGAAAAATTAAAAATCAAAACTGAGGAATCGGAAACTTGACAGAATCCAAAAACAGGTAAATTGATACACTGGAGACCTGAATAACTGAAAAATTTGAAAATTGAAATACTGAAAAATAAAAAAAACACGAAAAATCAAAAATTGAAAAAATGGAAAATGAAAATTAAAAAATCGAAAACTGGAAAATGCAAAAACTAAAGAATCGAAAAATTCCAAGATTAAAATTCGATAAATTGAAACACTCTAAAATCAAAGAGGTGAAGATTCGAAAAGTGGAACAATTAAAAAATCGAAAGCTCCCAAATCCAAAAACTGATAAATCGAAAAATTGAGAAATCAAGAACTGAAACAGAAAAGTTGAAAAATCGAAACATTGAAAAATTAAACTACTGAAAAATAAAAAATATGAAAAATCCAAAAACTGAACAATATAAAATATAAACGAGTTTCGAAAATTATCTCACGAGATTTTTTATAACTCCCAAATTCAAAAACTGAAAAAGAGACTAATTGAAACATCAAAAAACCTAACAATCAAAAAATCCAAGACTCCAAAAGACTCGAAAATTGGATAATTCAATAATTTAAAATCTTAAGAATCAAACAGCTGAGAAATCAAAAATGTAAGAATCGAAAAATTCAAAAATTGAAATACTGAAAAGTTGGTAAATCGAAGAATTGTGAAATAGAGAATGTATAATTCATAGGTTGTAAAACTGAAACACTGGATAATAAAAAAATGAAAAACCCAAAACTGAAAACCGCAATACACAAAAGTAAAAAAAATCGAAGAATGGAAAAAAAATGACAATCCAAAACTGGAAAATCCAGAAACTAAACAATCGAAAAATTCAAAATGTGAAATGTCGAAAAATCGAAGAACCAAAAAAGTGGAATAATTTAAAAATCGAAAACTGAAAACTCTAAAAATTGCAAAAACCAAAAATAAAAAATTATCGAAAGGGCGAAAAATCAAAAAAATTGAAAACTGCATGACTGTGAAACAGCAAAATCGAAGAATTGAAACTCGAGAACTATAAAATCGAGAAGGGAAAACTCGCGAATTAAACAATCGAAAAATTGAAGAATCGAAAAATTGAAAATTCGAAGTGATTAATTGAGAACTTGAAAAATCGAAAAACTGAAACACTGAAATATTGAAAAATACAAAAATTCAAAAATCTAAAAAATCTAAACACTCAAACTAAAAAAAAAATGAATAATTGGAGTGGAATAATTAAAAAATTGAACAGAAGAATCGCAGAACTGATAAAAACGAAAAACAGATTGAAACACTCAAAAATAAAAAAAAAATAGATCGAAAAGTGGAATAATCAAAAAATCCGAAAAATCGAAAAGATGAAAATCGATAATTGAAAAATCTAAAAACTGAAGAATTTAAAACCTGCTGAATCGAAAAATTAAAAATCGGAAATTGAAAAGCCCAAAAACTTCAGAATCGAAAAATTCAAAAACTGAAATGTCGAAAAATAGAACAACAGACAAATTGAAACACTCAAAAGTCAAAAAATCTATGATTTGAAAAGTGGAAAACTTCAAAAATCGCAAAAATTAAATTTTTAATACTCCCTTATGCAAATTTCGGACAACTAGTAGCTCTACTACCAAGAAAAGATTAAAAGAGGAATTTCCGAAAGATTTCTGGAATCTTTCCCACTACGAATAAAAAACTGAACCAATGAATACATTTTTCCAGTCTATAAATTTTCTAAACAGAAATGTAAGTCAAATGGGGTCAAATTAATAAGTCGTAGTGTATAAAAATAAAGCCATCATTGCAAAAATCTTCAATTAGTTTGGTGTTAAAATGTTCTAAAACATGGTGATTTCATTTTCACTCTCAAGTTTGTCAATCCCAGATATCCATAATATTTACTTAAATATTGTCGGAGTTGAGATTTTTAAATGTGGCTATTTTTGACATAAAAACTGAAATATGTTTAAAATTCTTTATTAAAAAACCCTCTCTCTCTAGTACTATTTTTCCCTTTATCCTATTGGCATACACCGTACGTAAAATATATACAGGGTGAATCACTAAGCATGCTCTCCTCGATATCAACTGATAATAAATAGTGTGTTTAGTGACTCACCCTATACAAAATAGCGACGAAGTAGCGACTTTTTACCCAATGTGAATAAACACGAAATTCCCAAATCAGCATTGTTGACTGCTAGCTTATCAGTGCCCACATATTTGAGAGTTCATAGTTCATTATTAATTAAAATCGTTAAAAACACAAACATTACAAGCGATAACAAATCATTAAAAACTAATTGGTGCACCAGATAAACCCAACAGCTAGAAATGAACAAACAACGATAACATAGCTACTATAGCAACAAAATCCAGTTCATGTGTGACGACCGACCGTGGTGGACACTCACCAGATGTCGCTATCCATTCTCACCTCCACACCGACCTGCTCGTCGACCCACCTTGGGTGACAAGCAGTGCGGTAACCCTAACCCACCCACGAAACTGCTCCACCGTTAATTATTCCATCCGCCGACCCAGCCGTACAAGAAAAAAGCATTATCTCACTCCTCCGTGAACCCAGATTCGCATAACTTTTACTAACTTGAAATCGTCCATGACCGGCGGATCGTCCGCTTGATGATGTCGGCGGCCGGTACGTACACCCTGTTGTCCCGTCTCCTGCTGGGTCTCCGCACGAACTCGTTCATCCACTCTCCAGACGCAGCTTGAATCTCCCTGCAAAGAAACACGAGGTCTTAGTCTCAACGCAAAAAACGAGCCTAAACAAAAGAGCTCCTGTTTACTCAATCATTTATTAAGATATTTTATTTCTGTAACGCGCAATGGATTTTTTAATACAATTTCTACTAATGTAAAAAAAAATATTTACAGCACGTTATCAACGGGAATACATTACATCGGAAGAATGTCACGTAGACATTTGTTTGATTTGAATGAGTTTATCGCCCCAAAACAGATGACTAAAATTATTCATAAGCCTCCATTGAACAAAATATTCTGAATATTATTATTATAATTCATACCTTATCATTACTTTATTGTTATAAAGACGAGCGCATTCTCACATTTTCCAGAAAATGGGGTGGCTCGTTCTTAATTTGATCAATAATAAATTGACTCATTGATTAATTTTTTTCACACACCCCGTGATAAAAGAGGCTTCAAATTTTAGTTGTTTTGTATAACTCTCTAAGTTTCGATTCTTTCGTCATTTTGTCAAAATAGAAAATATTGGTGGAATTAAAAAAAATCAGCACAACACATTCAAAATTATTCGAAAGTTATCGGTGTTTTATTTTTGATACTCAATGTAAATTGGTGAATTATAAAAACTGGTCTAAAGTTATTTAGACAGCACTTTCCTCGCTCTTGAAGTCCGGTATAACATATTCAGTTTTAGATAATTGTAAGATTCGATTTAGAGATTTTTTGCTGATATCGCAGTAAAGAGATCCATCTGGCGAATGACTAATTTTATGTTTTCTCGACGTTTCACCATTTTATAACACAATTCTTGGTTTCTTCATTTCCTTTATTTTTTGTTGTTTCTTTCGATTTACAATTCTTTATTTATTGAATTTTTCAATTTTCAGGCTTTCATTTTTCAGTTCCATGATTTTCCACGTTTAAAATTTTTCAATTTGCAGTTTTTGGATTTCTAGTCCTCCAATTTTTCAGTTTTTTTAATTTTCAATATTTTATTTCTTTTTTTTTCATTTTTTTACAGTTTCTTGACTTCTAAATTTTTCAATTTTTCGATTTGCAATTTTTTAATTTTGCAATTTTTCGATATTACAGTTTCTCATTTTTCGATTTTTCGCATTCTCAGTTTTTAATTTTTGTCATTTTCAATTTTTCGTTTCCTCAATTTTTCAGGTTCTCGATATTTATTTTTCATTTTCCCGATTTTTTTAATTTTCATTTTTTCGATTTTATGTCACAAATTTTCATTTTTTTAATTTCTGTATTTTTTGTTGCTTCTTTCGATTTTTCAATTTTTCGTTTCAATTTTTCGAATTTTCAGTTTCTCTCATTTTTCAATTCCATGATTTTCCACGTTTAAAATTTTTCATTTTGCAGTTTTTGGATTTCCAGTCTTCCAATTTTTCAGTTTCTTTAATTTTCAATATTTTGATTTTACAATACATATTTCTTCACTTTTTCGAATTTTAAGTTAATCAATTTTTAATCTTTCGATTTTTCAAATTTTCGTTTCTTCAAATTTTCATGTTTGATTTTCACTTTTGACGTTTTTCAAGTTTTCATTATAAACTTTTTCGTTTTTTATTTTTGATTTTTCAATTTTACAGTTTCTTGACTTCTAAATTTTTCAATTTTTCGATTTTTCACATTCTCAGTTCTTAATTTTTGTCATTTTCAATTTTCCGTTTCCTCAATTTTTCAAGTTCTCGATATTTATTTTTAATTTTCCCGATTTTTTTAATTTTCATTTTTTCGATTTTATGTTACAAATTTTCATTTTTTCAATTCCCTTATTTTTTGTTGTTTTTTTCGATTTTTCAATTTTTCGTTTCTTCAATTTTTCGAATTTTCAGTTTCTCTCATTTTTCAATTCCATGATTTTCCACGTTTAAAATTTTTCATTTTGCAGTTTTTGGATTTCCAGTCTTCCAATTTTTCAGTTTCTCTAATTTTCAATATTTTGATTTTACAATACATATTTCTTCACTTTTTCGAATTTTAAGTTTTTCAATTTTTAATCTTTCGATTTTTCAAATTTTCGTTTCTTCAAATTTTCATGTTTGATTTTCACTTTTGACGTTTTTCAAGTTTTCATCATAAACTTTTTCGTTTTTTATTTTTGATTTTTCAATTTTACAGTTTCTTGACTTCTAAATTTTTCAATTTTTCGATTTTTCACATTCTCAGTTCTTAATTTTTGTCATTTTCAATTTTCCGTTTCCTCAATTTTCAAGTTCTTGATATTTATTTTTCATTTTCCCGATTTTTTTAATTTTCATTTTCTCGATTTTAGGTCACAAATTTTCATTTTTTCAATTCCTTTATTTTTTGTTGTTTTTTTCGATTGTTCAATTTTTCGTTTCTACAATTTTTCGAATTTTCAGTTTCTCTCATTTTTCAATTCCATGATTTTCCACGTTTAAAACTTTTCATTTTGCAGTTTTTGGATTTCCAGTCTTCCAATTTTTCAGTTTCATTAATTTTCAATATTTTGATTTTACAATACATATTTCTTCACTTTTTCGAATTTTAAGTTTTTCAATTTTTAATCTTTCGATTTTTCAAATTTTCGTTTCTTCAAATTTTCTTGTTTGATTTGCACTTTTGACGTTTTTCAAGTTTTCATCATAAACTTTTTCGTTTTTTTATTTTTGATTTTTTAATTTTCCAATTTGTGGACTTCCAAATTTTCCAATTTCTCAATATTACAATTTCTCATTTTTCCATTTTTCACATTCTCGATTTTTAATTGTGCCCTTTTTTAATCTTCCGTCCCCTCAATTTTTCAACTCCCCGATTTTTATTTTGCATTTTCCTGATTTTTTATTTTTCATGCAATTTTTTGTTTTTTCATTTCCTTAATTTTTGTTGTTTCTTTCGTTTTTCCAATTTTTCGTGTATTCAATTTTTCAAATTTTCAGGCCAATCGATTCCAATTCGTCGATTTTCCAATTTTAAAATTTTTGCGGTTTTTGGGTTTCCACCCCTTTTTTACTTTTTGGATCTTCAATTTTTCGTTAAACTTTAGATTTCTCAAATTTTCGACAGTTTTATACTTCGATTTCTTAATTTTTTTTCAACTTTTCGATGTTTTAATTTTTCTCTTTTAAAATTTTTAAATTTTTTTATTTCTCGATTTATCGAATTCAAATGTTTGGATGTTTTGATTGCTCAATTTCTCAATTTTTTTCTATTTCTTGATGTTTCGATTTTGGATATCTCGGTTTTTCGATTTTCCAATTTTTCGATGTTTCGATTTTCCAATTTTTCGATGTTTCGATTTTTCAGTTTTCCGATTTTTCAATTTTTTTAAATTTAAATATTTCTATTTCATAATACATATTTCTTTTTTTTTGAATATTCACTTTTTCGATTCTTAATATTTTTCAAGTTTTCATTTTGTAATTTTTCGTTTTTTATTTTTGATTTTTCAATTTTATAATTTCTCGATTTCCAAAATTTTCAATTTTTCGGTTTGCATCAGTTTTCAATTTGGCAATTTTTTAATATCACAGTTTTTCATTTTTCGATTTTTTCAGTTTCTCAATTTTTCATTTTTCCCTTTTCCAATTTTTTGTTTCCGATTTTTATTTTTCATTTTCCCGATTTTTTAATTTTTGACTTTTTCGATTTTATTTCACACTTTTCCTTTTTTTGATTTCCTTTATTAAAATTTTCAAATTTTCAGGTTTTTAGCAATTTTTGTTCAAATTTTCAAGTTTGATTTTCACTTTGTACATTTTTTTATTATACACTTTTTCGTTTTTTTATTTTTGATTTTTCAATTTTACAATTTGTCAATTTCCAAATTTTCCAAATTTTCAATATTACAATTTCTCATTTTTCCATTTTTCACATTCTCGATTTTTAATTGTGCCCTTTTTCGATTTTCCATCCCATCAATTTTTCAACTCCCCGATTTTTATTTTGCATTTTCCTGAATTTTTATTTTTCATTTTCTCGATTATTATACATCACAATTTTTTGTTCTTTCATTTCCTTAATTTTTGTTGTTTCTTCCGATTTTCCAATTTTTCGTTTATTCAATTCTTCAAATTTTCAGGCCAATCGATTCCAATTCGTCGATTTTCCTATTTTAAAATTTTTCAGTTTGCAGTTTTTAGGTTCCCACCCCTTCAATTTTTCGTTAAATTTTAGGCTAGATGTTTTGATTGCTCAATTTCTCAATTTATCAATTTCTCAATTTTTTTCTATTTTTCGATGTTTCGATTTTTAGATTTCTGGGTTTTTCGATTTTCCAATTTTTCGATGTTTCGATTTTTTAGTTATCCGATTTTTCAATTTTTTTAAATTCTGGAGTTTCAATTTGTCGATTTTTCAGTTTAAGGTTTAGATTTTCGAATTTTTCTTTTTTGATTCTTTGATGTTTGGATTTCTCCATTTTTCAATTTTGCGATATTTCAATTGTTCAATGTTTTAAATTTTAGGTTTTTCGATTTCTGAATTTTTTGATTTTCCAGTTCTTCAGTATTTCTATTTTACAATTTTTCAAATTTTGACGTTGCTAAATTTTCAGTTTTCCGATTTTTCGATTTTTGAATTTTCCGATTTTTCAATTTTCCAATTTTTTAAATTTTCAAATTTTGACGTTACTGAATTTTCAGTTTTCCGATTTCCCAATTAATCTATTTTTTGGTTTTCCCATTTTCGACTTGCGAAGGTTTCGATTTTTCAGTTTTTCAGTTCCTCAATTTTTCGATTTTTCAGGCTCCAGATTTTTCAATTTTTAGATTCCTTAGGTTTGCAATTTTTCGGGTTTTCGATTTCCCAATTTTTCAATTTTTTAATTTCCCAATTTTTGGATATTTCGTTCAATTTTGTGAGTTTTCTCGGTTTTTCGATTCAATTTTGGGATTTTTTAGTATTTCGATTTTTGGATTTTTCACGTTCTGGATTTTTCAATTTCTCGACTTTTTACTTTTTGGATTTTCAATTTTTCGTTTTTTGAACTTTCGGTTTTCACAATATTTCAACTTTTCGATATTTGAAGT